ATGTGTTCATGTGTTGATGGACAACAGCCAGGCTTGTTCCCTAACTTGAATATTATGAATTGTGCTGCTATAAATATGAGTATGCATGTATCTTTGAAATATTTCATCCTTAATTCTCTTGGGTAGGAGTGAAACAGCTGGATCATATGGTAGTTACTATTTTAGCTTTTCGAGGAACTTCCATACTGATTTTACTAGTTCATATTCACATCAGGGTGTATAAGGGTCCCTTTTCCCCTATATCCTCCTCAGCATTTAATCACTGAGCCATATCCTCAGCCCTGTTTTTGTATTTTATTTAGAGACAGGGTCTGGCTGAGTTCCTTATGGCCTTGCTAAATTGCTGAGGTTGGCTTCGAACTCACAATCCTCTGTCTCAATCCCCAAGCCTCTGGGATTACAAGCATGTGTCACTATACCCAGCTCTCAATATGACTTTGATTTACTCTTCCTTTATGACTAAAGATCTGAATACTTTTCATATAATTTTTGGCCATTTGTACTTATTTTGAGAAATTTCTGTTTGGCTTATTTGTCCATTTATTAATTGGGTTATTTGTCTCTTCAGTGTTGAGGGTTTTTTTTTTAAATATTTATGTTTTAGTTATAGTTGGACTCAATACCTTTATTTTATTTATTTATTTTTATGTGGTGCTGAGGATCAAACCCAGGGCCTTGCACATGCTAGCGAGCGCTCTATTGCTGAGCCACAACCCCAACCCTTTGGTGTTGAGTTTTTAATTTTTTTTTATATATTTTGGGTATAAAACCTCTTTTGGAAGAGTGACTAGCAAAGATTTTCTCCCTTTCTATTTTAGTCAGCTTTGCATTGCTGTGACCAAAAGATCTGACAAGAACAACATAGAGGAGGAAAAAGGTATTTTTGCTCATGGTGTCAAAGATACTTGCATTCATGGTCATACAACTCCATAGACATCGGCCCAAACTGTGGCAGGACATCATGGCAGAAGGGCATGTTGAAGGGAAGCTGCTTAGTTCATGACACGCAGGAAGCAGAGAGAGAGAGCTGTGCTCACGAGCAATAAAATATAACCATTAAAGCCATGCCCCCAGTGACCTACCTTCAGTCACATCTTACTGACCTAGTTACCACCCAATTAACCATTCAATTGATTTAATTCACTGATTAGGTTATAGTGTTTATAATCATTTCATCTCTGAACACTTATTTATTGTCTCACACATGAGCTTTTGAGGGATGCCACATACTCAACCCATAACACCTTTAGTAGGCTATCTCTTCATGATGTTAATGGTTCCCATTTGGTTTGTTTCTATAGCTCTTAATGATAATTATAATTTGAAATGGGGTCTTCTGATGACTCCAAAATTGTTCCTTTTGTTCAAAATTGCTGTGGCTATTCTGATTTTTTTGTTCTTCCATATCATTTTAGGACTACTGTTCCTTATTCTGCAAAGAAATGGCATTAGTATTTTGGCATAGATGGTATTAAATCTGTAGTTCACTATTGTTAATATGGTCATTTCAACAGTATTACTTCTACCTACCCATGAACATTGGAGTTTTTTCCATCTTGTAGTATCTTGTTCTGTTTGTTTGTGTTTAGAATTTCTTAGTTTTTCTTGTAGAAGTCTCTCAACTCTTTTGTTAGATTAATTCATACTTTTAAACATTGAAGCTATATGAATGAAATTGTTTTCTTGATTTCTTTATCAACATTGAAAGCTATATGAATGGAATTGTTTTCTTGATTTCTTTATCAACAAAATTTATCTAAAGATTTTCTACATTTAGTGTGATGATAATGAGGCTTTTGTCCTTGATCTTGTTTGTATAGTGCATTACCTTCACTGATTTGGCAATGGGTCAATCATTCTTATGTCCCTGCGATGAAACCAACTTGATAATCATACATGATCTTCTTAACAGGTTGCTAAATTAGATATGCAAGTATTTGTTAAGAATTTTTATATCTATATTTATTAAAGGTATTTTTCTCTAAAATTCTTTTCTTTATTTTTTTTTTTAATTTTTAGTACTAAGGATTGAACTCAGTGGTCAAGTGACCACTGAGGCACATGCCCTGCCCTTTTTTGTATTTTATTTAGTGACAGAGTCTCACTGAATTGGTTAGCACCTTGTTTTTGCTGAGGCTGGCTTTGAACTGATGATCCTTCTGCCTCAGCCTCCTGAATAATCTAATATTCTATTCTTGACAAGTCCTCACCTGGTTTTTGTATCAAGGTGATACTGGTTTCATAGGATAGGTTTAGAAATGTTTTCTCCTTTTTCTATTTTATGGAATAATTTAAGGAGTATTGATATGAGCTCTGCTTTAAAGACCTCACCAAATTCAGCTCTTAGTCCATCTAGACCTGGGTTCTTCCTTGTTGTGAAGTTTTCTATTAATGCTTCAATTTTTTTCTTTATATTGGCCAATTGAAGTTTTATATATTATCTTGGTTTGTATACTCTGTAATATCTTGTTGATTTATGTCTAGAAAACTTATATATTAGTGAGAGAGGTATAATTGAATCACCCACTGTTATTTCAAACATCTAGGTCATATAAGTCTAGATATTTATCCATTTCTTCTGGATTTTCCATTTACTAGAATATATATTTGTAAAGTACCTCTGCATTTCAGTAGTTTCTGATGTAATATCCCATTCTTTGTCTCTAATTTGATAAATTTAAATCTTCTCTGTGTTTTAGTTAGCCTAGATTGTATATTTTTTGCAGAGTCATTTCTTTCATTGATGCTTTTTATTTTTAATTCTCTTTATCATTAACAGCTCTGATCCTTATTGGTATTTTCCTTCTACTGGTTTTGGAATTGTTTTGTTCTTGTTTTTTTTTCTAAAAACTTGATTTGTATCATTACTTTCTTTATTTGAGATCTTTATGATATTTTCATATAGACACTCATAGTATCAGCTTTCCTGTTACAACTGCCTTTGCAGTATCTCATAGGTTCTTTTATGTTATATTTCTGTTCGTGTTTGATTCTAAGAATCAAACGTACCCCCTGATTTATTTGACAACCCACTTATCATTCATAATGTATTTGATGTCCATGTGTTTTTTAGATTTTTTATAGTTTTTCTTTTTGTTGATTTCTTAATTAATTTTACTATGATCCAATAAAATGCAAGGAATTATTCCAGCGTTTTCACATTTGCTAAAACCTACTTTGTGGTGTAAAATATAATCTCTGTTTTAGAAATTTCCATGAGGAATTATAAAGAAAGTGTATTCAGATATTATTGAATGAAATATTCTGTAGCTGTCTGTTAAGTCTATTTGATTATAATTTTCTAACTCTGCAGTATCTTCATTGATTTTATGTCTTATGATATATGTATCAGTGAGAGAGGTGTATTAAAATCGTACATTGTTATTCTATTGAACCCTATTTGGGTCTTTATGTCAAGTAGTGTTTGTTTTATAAAATTAAGTACAGCTATTTTAGGAGCATACATATTTAAAATTGTTATATTTTCTTTTTTGATTGTTCCTTTTACCCATATTTAGTGACCATATTCTTTGTCTCTTCTAATTAAATTGGCTTAAAGTCTGCTCCTTGTAATTTTCTGGAATTCTATTTGCATGGAATACCATTTTCGATCCTTTCACTTTCAGTGAAAGTCTTTGAAAATGAGGTATTTTTCTTGCAGGTTACTTACAGTTGTGTCTTGTTTATTAGCCCAATCTGCCAGTCCTTGTCTTTCAGCTGGAGATCTAAGACCATGTAGTGTCAATGATATCATAGAAATGTATGCATTTCTTATTGCCATTTTGTTTTATTTCTGCTGTTTGATCCTAATTCTCTTCAGCTTATCTACTCTTCTAATGAAATTTATTCTTTCTTGTATTTTCTTCATTCCTTTTAACTTTTCTGTACTGTTGTCTTCATCCTGCTTTCTGTTTTCTTAACTTTCTGCATCTGTGGTTTTTTTTCTCATAATAATTTGGGGAAATTTTAAGCAGAATTACATTAAATATCTCTTCTCTTCTTTTTTATTTTTCTGTTCTCTTCTGGTATTCCAATTATGTAGAAGTTACACCTTTTTGTGCTGTCCCACAGACTATGAGCATTCAATTTGCATAGATTTTTTCCTCGTTACATTTCAACTTGGGAAGTTTCTATTATATTATTTCAATGAGCTTATAGTTTCAGTTCTTTATATTTAGTTTTTTCTAGCCTGTGTTCAGTCTATTGATGAGCATTCTTTAATGTCACTTTCATGTCTGTTAGCATTTTCTCTCACTTAATGTATCTACCTTTCTTCATTTTCTGTCCATCTTCTATTGAATATTGTCCTAATTTTTCAAGAATCATTAGCATTTTAGTTATATTTTAAATTCCCAAACTTATTTTTCAAATTATCTACCATATCCTAATTTGTTCTCATTTCATGTGATTTGTCAGTTGATCCTATTTTTAATACATGTTAATTCAAAAAATATGTTTACTACTCAAATCTGAAATAAAACTAGTAAAAAAAACCTTAGAAAACAAACTGGAATCAGTTTTTGATTCTGAAGCATAACCCAAAATGTTTTCTTTTTATTTGATGTAAATATGTGTCATTTGGAAATAAAACTGACCCAATTATTGGAAATAAATAATTGTGTGTAACTGCTAAGATAAGGAAAAAGGGTGGGCCAGATCATGAGGACTTTGAATGATGAGTAAAGAAAAGTGTTATTTTTCAGTTGCATAAATTCTGGGCATGGTCTTACTTTCCTTGACATTCCTGATCATCTGGCCATAAGAAACTCCAAACTGCAATCACTTGCTGGGAAGAGGAGCCAATGAGGTGGATATAGTAGAGGTTGAGAGGTAGGAATAGAATCAGACCAAATATTGAGAATCATTTAGTGAAGAATATCACTCAAATAAGCCTCACTCTTATTTGTCTTAAGACCTAGTACAGGAAATCACAGGACTATCTGAATTTTGATAAGACTTTCTGAAGCACCAGCCTTCAGTTCATTCCCTACAGTCATCTCTCCAGAGCAGTGTTCTATAGTGACAACCAACGCAGGGGACTATTCCTTTTGCCAAGGATCAGCTTATCACCTCCAATAAGAAGAATGGAAGAAAGGTAAAACTTTTATAAGAACTTATTCCTAAAGCTGTGTCTTTTTTTATGAGTCCACAATCAGATAAATTCACCTTGAGGTGGAGGATACAAGGAGCTTGATGTGTTCTAGCAGGAACAGACACGGGACTTGACAGTCCCAGCAGCATTGAGGGCTGAGAAGGTTTAGTGTGAGAGCTATGAAAGCTGCAAACCAAAACAGTTGTCTTTTGTTGGACCTTCTCCCCATTCTGTGCTTAACTATAACTATACTTTGCTTGGAATTCCTGATCATCTGGCCATAAGAAAACCCAAAATGCAATCACTTGCTGGGAAGAGGAGCCAATGAGGTGGATAGAGTAGAGGTATATAATCTATTCAAATTTATTGGTAGAGTGAGAAATCTGCTGCTTTCCTAATTTAGGAGACAATATACATGGATGTATGCTTCTCAAAGCTAAAGTGCTGTGAAGTCATGTTACTTGTGTTGGAAAATTCTGTTGCAGTATGAATTTCTCAGAGCCTCCACATAAAATGGATGATCCAAAAATGAATGAGAAGAGTTTAACCAAGGTAGAATTTACCAATACGTGCATAGTTTGCGAAAGTTACCTGGAATGGTGAATCTCATTCCTCCCCCAGGAAAATAATATGGAGTAGAGAGAGGTTCATATTTCACTATTTTTAGAAACAATAGGATAGAAATTATCAGAATTAAGAGCACCTGAGGTGAACTAAGAGCACCTGAGGTGACTTCAGCCCTTGATGCCCAGAGGTTCCTGTCTTGGTTCACTATGGTCCTCTTGTCTTGTTTGAGTTCAGGAAACTCTACATAGAGTGACTTGGCCCTTTGCAGTGGCAGAAATGGGCATCTACGCTGGGAATTGTTGTATAATTACCGCTTGTTGTTCCATGTCTTAGATTTTTCTTCCCTTTTCTCTACAAAAATTGCCTTTTCCATTTTAATAAGAGAGGTGTGTGCATTATAAACTATAAATGATACAAGTAAAATGCTTTATCCTCTATCACTTCACCATGTGTAGTGACCTGGCTGTGGTCAGGTCTGGTGAAGCACAAAGATTCTGATCCAAACATGTGGGTTTAAATCCAGGTAGTATTAGTTTTTGAGGTGAGACCTGAAGCAAATCTCTTAGTATTTGCCACAGATAGCTATGTAGAAAATTAAAGTGAATTAATCCTTCAACCAATTGCTAAAGTTCACCTTCCTGAGAGTTCCTACTTGTCTCCCAACTGATTTGTGCTCAAGCATCTCTCTTTTCACCAAAGTCCTTCTTTTATGAGCATTTAATTAAAAAATTCCCATGTTTACCTCAGACAATTAAATTACTAACTGGCTTTAAAATGCAAAACAAATTCTACATAAAATCAACTGGGGAAATGTCAATAGTTTTATACTCTACAACTCATAGACATCCCTTCCTTATCACTTGTGGCTGTTTCCATGCCTCAACATTCTCTATTTAGCTCCATTGCCAATTCTCTTTCCCCTTTCTCAAACTTCCTTTTCACTCTTCAAAAATGCAATAACTTCCATTTAATCTGGAAATCTCTCCCTAAAATTTAGGCTTTTACTCATTTAGGTAATCATTAGTGTCATATTCTAGCCCTCCCTGGGTTGGAGACATGAGAGTGACCACCCTGGACCATCGCTGCAGACATAAGGGATTCTTTAAAACACATCAGAGTTTTCCTCAGGAGGAATCGTGAGCAATGGCATTTTCTTCAGTGTCTCCATATATGCATGTTTTCCTGTGAATGATGTCACTTAAAAAGGCTTGGGTGGGATTTAACTCAAATTTTCAACTACCCTTGGGCTCCCCACTCTTTTATTCATTTGTTGTTCACACATTTCTTGACTATCTTAACTATTTGCTGTGACCCTCATACACAGCTGGGGACACTGGGGACCCATCAATCAGTATAAGGAAAATATTCTTTAATTTTTGTCATTTACAAAATTTGAAACAAGCACTGAGTTATAATTAACCTAAGAGCTAGCTGTCTTCACAAGTATCCTACCAATAGCTCATATTCTCTTCAAAACCTAATTATGATGTCCTTTTTCCCTGTTGTATGGATCCTCCTGGTCAGTGAGGGTGAGTGTGGTCATACTTAGGGCTTCCAACTTTCTGAACCTGACACAAAACCTCTGTTCCAGGACAGAAAGAAAGTTGGGCTAAGGATTCTGTACCTATCCCATATAATCTAGGATGCTGAGTGGGTGTGTTGGGGCCATCAAATATTCCCTGTCAGTAGAAAGAGGGGATTGCAGATGGCCCAGGCTTTAGAGTCAGTGAGAACTGGGATTGAAATTAGGTCCCATGACTTCCTGGCCTTTGATGGATTACTTAACTTCTGCAGGTCTGTCTTTCCCTTCCCTGTGCCACAGGGGCAATACTTCCCACATAGCAGGGTAGTCTTAAGAATCAGAGATCTTGCAGCAGTTGTTCATATCTTATTTGTATTCCCAGGAGCACCAGTGGAGAATTCATGAGCATGGATGCAGTCATGCCAACCTGGGAGGCACAAACCACACCAATGAATGGCAGTTTTCCAATGTGCTATAAGAAGAATCTTATCCTGGCTTTCCTCACCCTCATCATTGCCATGATCGGTGTGGCAGGAAACGCAGTTGTGCTCTGGATCTTGGGATGCTGCATGCGCAGGAACACCTTCTCCATTTATATTCTCAACCTGGCTGCAGCTGACTTTCTCTTCCTCTGCTTCCAGATCATAGAATCCCTGGAGGAAGTCTTTAACTTTTTTTCTTCCATCTCCATGCCCACTCCAAGGTTCTTCATGATTGTGTCAACCTTTGCCTATCTTGCAGGGCTAAGCATGCTCAGTGCCATGAGCACCGAGCGCTGCATGTCTGTCCTGTGGCCCATTTGGTACCGCTGCCACCGCTGGAGACACACATCAGCTGTCGTGTGTGCCTTGCTTTGGGCCCTGTCGCTGTCGCTGAGCATCCCTGAAGGGAAGTACTGTGGCTTCCTGATTAAGTGGTATGACTATGAATGGTGTCAAATATTAGATTTCATCACTTCCGCCTGGCTGATGGTTTTATTTGTCACCCTCTCAGGGTCCAGCCTAACCCTGATTGTCAAGATCCTTTGTGGCTCCCAGAGAGTGCCAGTGACCAGGCTATATGTGACCATTGGGCTCACGGTTCTGGTCTTCCTCTCCTTTGGCCTGCCCTTTGGGATGTACTGGTTCCTCTTATTCTGGATCCTGAGTTACGATGTTATTCCTTGTGAATCCTTTTGGGTTACAGTTGTTCTGTCCTGTGTTAACAGCTGCGCCAACCCCATAATTTACTTCTTTGTTGGCTCCTTTAGGCAGCGGCGGTGGAAGTGGGGAACCCTCAAGCTGGTTCTACAGAGGGCCATGCAGGACACCCCTGATAAGGGTGACTCTGGAAGCAGGGTTTCATCAGGAAACCTTGGAGAGTGAGCAACAGTCTGGGGTAACTCGCAAGAGCCTCTGCTTTGATCAGACACATGTGCTTCTGAGAGCCTTCCTGGTCCTATCAGTATAGGAGACACTCAGAACCTGTTTCAGTTGGTTACCTAGTTTTAAATCAGAAGACAATAATTGTCCATATCTCCAGTGTCACGGGGCCTGTTAAACACTGATTACTGTGTCTCTCTACCTGCCTTACTCAGGTGCTTCACCCCATTTGCTTGTGAGACTCATCAGCTCAGGATCCAGGACTGCTTCTACTTTTGAACTTTTGACAAACTTTTTTTTTTTTTTATACACCAGAAGACTGAAAACAGTAATGGTGGTAGTGGGGGGAATCTCAATTTCTTTCATCAGTGCACCTGATAAAGACTAAAAGAATCCTATGTTTTGGACATTTCCCCCTAAACCTTACAACCTTTGTCTTGATATTATTAGAAGAATAAAATAAATTACCCCTGTAATCTCTCTCTCCTTTCATTTTGGAAGGACTGTGTATATTGCCTTAGCATAATAAATGTTTACTGAATGAGTGTTTTCATGGATGAATACAGCTGATTCATTTTTCAGTAAACCTGTGCTAAATCTCCACTTATTAGTTTTGAGTCATGACATTTATGTATTGTTTCCATCATTTTCAACTTTGGCAAGCTGGGTGTTCAGCTTGGTGATCAGATAAAGCCACATCCATGCATATTTAAGGTTTGACATAGACTATCTTTCTGTGATTTCTTTCCACATGTCCTCCATTAGCAACCCTTATCTTTCCATTTCTTCCCTTTTGCCTTGGCTCTGATACTGTCTCTCTGCGGAGCTTTCTAATTAGACTCTTAGACTTTATTTCCAGAAGCTCACAACATGTATTTTATTAATTGTATGGCATGTATTTCTACTTAACACTTTCAGTGAAAATAGTACTTTCATTTTCATGGATATAGTGTTTAATTATTTTAACTCATGTATAATTAAATGATAATAACGAGCACAGATCAAAGTATACAGTTCAATGAGTATAACAAAGGAATATAGCTACATGACCCCCAAACAAATCAAGTCACAAAACCATTTTATACCTCTGTAAGTTCCCATTATTTCTTCCAGTCCATCCTCCTTGACCCAGAGCTCAGGATGCCTCTTATGTTTTTTTTTTTTAATTTTAAAATAAATTTTAGTGTGTTGATTTTAGGGTTATAACAATGCTATTAGGTAGATATAGATAAGGTAAATGATTTTATAGTCAAAAAATAAAAATCTATCATATCATGTAGTTATTAATTTTTCCCTTATTGTTAGAACTGTTATAATCTGTCCATTTAGCAAAATATTGTACATAATCACTATTCTCCAATACAATGAAATGTAATACTCATATTTTACATTGTTTCATCCTACATGTTTATCACTTTAAATTTTTTTTATCTACTTTTTCACATTTTCCGCCTAGTGTTTCAAACCTGGTAACCACTATTGTACATTCTGTTTATATGTATTGCTTCTTTAAAAGGTATTTCACATAAAACATTAGTAGAATAGAGGAGAGAAAAAAGGGAGGGAGGAGGAGAAAAAAGAGGGGTAAACGGTGAATGAATCCAAATTTCTTGTATTATAATTATGTGGAAATGTACCCAAATACTGTGTATAAATACAATATTGAAATAAAAAACTTCCACATGGAAATAAGACCATGCAATATTTTTCTTCCTGTATTTGTACTTAGCATACTCTCCTTTAAGTACATCATGTTGTGGCAAATGACAGGATCTCCTCTTTGCTCATGTTGAATAATGATCTGTTGTATATGTGCACCTCCATTCTTCGACACCTAGGTTGCTCTTAGCTATGCTGCAATGAACATGAGGGTGCAGATTTTTTATGAGGTAGTAATTTAATTTCTTTTGGATATATATACCCAGAGATGATGGCTTGGTCAAATGGTAGATCTGTTTATTTTTCATTTCTTCAGGAACCTCCCTACTGCTTTCCATAATGCCTGCACCAATCTGTGCATTCATCAAGTGTTCCAGGCTTGCCTCTTTTCCACACAATCACCAACACTTGTATCAACTATAGTTTGGATGTTGAATGTCTTCCAAAGATTAACAGTTTGTTCCCAGATTTTGCACTATTGGGAGGTGGTAGAAACTTGAAGAGGTGGGGTCTAGTGGGAGCTCTTTAGGTCACTGGGCCTATGCTCTGGAAAGACATAGTGGGACCCCAGACAAGCCATTCATCTCTCTGTCTTTTGCTTCTTGGTCAGGAGGTGAATGGGATTACTCTGCTATATCCTTCAACACTCCCTAGTGTGCCCTAGGCCCAAAGCAACAGGGCAACTGATCATGGAGTTAAACCTCCAAAACTGCAAGCCAAAATAACCCTTTTCTCTTTAGAAGTTGATTATGTCAGGTATTTGTTATATTAATGAAAATTCAACACATTATCTCTTATCTTCTTGTTAATAGCTATCCTAACAGGTGTGCAGTGATGTCTCATAGAGGCTTTGATTTTTCTTTCCCTGATTATTAGTGATGCTGGGCACATCATTTTCTTCTCTTTGTTATTTATGTGTCACATTTTGAAAAATATCTTCTCTGGTCATTTTCCCATTTTACTTTGTATTGTTTTTATTTTTTGCTACTTAGCTTTTTGAGATCCCTCTGAATCTAGAATATTAGCCTCTTATCTGTTATATTGTTTGTAAATATTTTGTACCAATATGTGGGTTGCCTTCATTTTATTGATTTTTTTTTTTTTGCTAAACAGCAAGTTTTTGATCTGATGCAGTCAAATTTAGTTAGTTTTGCTTTTGTTTCTTCTTTTTTTTTTGGTGGTATGTCCAAGAAACCATTACCAAGAACAATTTCTAGAAGACTTTCTCCTGTTTTCTGCTAGGGATTTTGCATGTTTAGGTCCTGATTCATTTTGAGTTAGAATTTTGTATGGTATAAGAGAAAGGTACAATTTTATTATTTTGCCTATAGAAATACAGCTTTCCCAGGACATTTTTATGGGGGAGACTATCATTTGTCCATTGTGTCTTCTGGTGCCTTTGTAGAAAATTAGTTGGCCATATAAATTTGGATTTATTTATGGGCTGTCTATTCTGTTGTACTGGCCTATGTGTCTGTTTTTATGTCATGTACCATAATATTTATACCATACCATTTTGTATCCTTCTGTTCTGATTACTATAGCTTTGTAATATAATAGTAATCTGGAAGTGATACTTCCAATTTTGATTTTGTTCTCAGAATTGCTTTGGTTATCAGGGATCTTTTGTGGTTCCATATGAATTTCAGGATTTTAAAGTTTCTGTGAAAAATAAAACCACTGGGATTTTCAAAAATTCTTTTGTTGGTGTATTGGAATCTTACATAATAGTGGGATTCATTTTTACATATGCATACATGCACATATCATAATTTGGTTAACTTAATTCCCCAGTATTTCCCCCTTCACTTCTTTCCTCCCTCCCCCTCATCTATTTTTTCTACTGTACTGGCCTCTCTTCTATTTTTTCTAAAGTCCCCTCCACCTTTTCTTCATCTTCACTCTCTCTAGCTTCCACATATGAGAAAACAAATATGATTCTCGACTTTCTGAGCTTCACTTCCTTTACTTAACACTCTCAAGTTCCATACATTTTCTTGCAAATGACATAATTTCCTTCTTCTTTATGCCTGAATAAAATTCCGCTGTGTATATACCATATTTTCTTTGAAAATCTTTTGTTATATGATTATATCATCTTCAAGCACAGATAATTTGACTTCTTTTCTGTTTGTATCCCTTTTACTTCCTTCACTTGTTGCATTAGTCTGTCTGAAGTTTGAAATAATATATTGAAAAGGAGTGGAAATCATCGAGGTCCTTGTCATAATCCTGATTTTAGAGGAAATGTTTCAGTTCTTCCCTATTCAGCATGATGTTGGCTTTGGGTTTGTCATATATCATATTTATGACTTTAAGATAAGTTCCTTCTATTCCTAATTGTTTACGGCTTTTTGTCCTGAATGGATATTAAATTTTGTAGAAGGCTTTTTACTGAGTCTATTGAGATGATCATGTGATTTTATTCTCTTGATTCAATTTAAGTGGTGTATTATAAGTATTGATTTCCATATAAGAAACCATCCTTGTATCCCTGGAATGAAATCCACCTGATCATGATGAACAATCATTTAAATTCTTGTTGCATATGATTTATTCATATATTATTAAGAATATTTGTATTTATGTTCCTGAAGAATATTTGTCTGGAGTTTCCTTTCTTTGAAGTGGACTTACCTGGTGTTGGTATTTGTGTTTTACTGAGTTCATATGATAAGTTGGGAAATTTTGCCTCTGTTCTATTTTCTGCAATAATTTTGAGGAGCATGGACACTATTTATTCTCTAAAGGTCCAGTAGAATTTAGCTCTGAGTCCATCTGGTCCTGGACTTTCTTTATTCAAAGTTTTTTTTCCTGCATTAATCTTTTTAATTGCTATTGGCCTATTTATTTCTATGCCCTCTTGGTTCCATTTGAGTAGGCCTATGTTTCTAGAAATTTGTTCATCTCTTGTAGATTTTTTAATTTATTGAAATATATATTTTCAAAATTGTCTCTAATGATGCCCTGGATTTCAGTGGTATCTGTTTTAATATGTCCTTTTTTGACTCTATTTTTATTACTCTTGATCTTCTTACTCTTTCTTTTGGTTAATGTGCCTAAGGGTTTGTCAAGTTTTTTATCTTTTCAGAAAACCAACATTTTCCTTCATTGATCTGTTGTATTCTTCTTTTATTCCTGATTTCATTAATTTCAGCTCTGATCTTTATTATTTATTTCCTTCTGCTGGTTTTGGAAATTATGTGTTCTTGTTTTCCCAAGACCTTGAGATGCATTGTTGAGAACCACAGCTGAATGGGCCCCAGCAAACTTCCAGCTGATTGGCTCACCATGGCCCCAGCATGATTGGCTCCTCTGCGGTGATGCTCATTGGGCTGTTTCCCTGCCCTTTCAGACCATGGAGCTGCTCACTGGGGGACTCATTTGGCTCCGCCCATGTGACCCAGCCAATCGGCCACAAGAGCAGGAGGAGTGGGGGCTTGAGAGGCTCACCGGAAGCCAGTGGTCACAGTTGGGCTCTGAGGGAATTCCTGAAGAGCTCCTGTGGTGCATGGTGTGTGTTCTAAAAATAAAGGTCATTTCTGCTTGATAAGTGGCTCCTGAATTGTGCCCAGCCAGACTGCGGAAATACATCATTAGGGTATTTATTTGGGATCTTGCTAATTTTTTTATGTGTGCACTCAAATGCTATAACTTTTCCCTTAGAACTGCCTTTACTGTGTTTCTGACACTTATTTACAGTATTTATATGTTGATATTTGTTCATGGGCCTTGATGGGCATCTCTTCCACTGTTATGAGGGTTTTTCAATGAACTTTTTTCTTTTTACTGTGTGCTGTGAGGTGTGGGTAGACTGAAGGTGAAATTCCTGCTCAATGTGATCACAGTTCTCTGTTCAGTTTCTAAGGCCACTTTGAGAGGAGATAATAATCATTAGTGACTGTGAACACTATAGAGCAAAACCATACACTAATAAACCATTTTAAAACTTTCAGAAAATGACTTGACATTTCCACTAATCCAAATATGTAAGGGTGAAGTAATACTCTACAACTGGCTGAAAAATTAGGCATTAAAAAAATAAGATGAATAAACTCTATAGGGCATAAATGTGAAAAAAAAGAGAGAAAGGATAAAGACAAATGGTGGTGGGAGAGACAGAGTAGATAATGAAAGGAGAGACAGAAATTAAAGAGAATTTAAAATAGATAATAAGAAAAACTATTAAAAATAAATCCAATTAGCACATTAAAATATAAAGGAAATTTATAAAATTGGATTAACACATGCAATATCAAATGACCTACAAAATCTACCTAGAAGATAATGACATTTGAGGTGGTATTTCAGAGCGTCTTAATGTATTCCTTGTTGAGTTGAGATGGAGAGATTTCCTACTGGGCCATCCAGACTTGGATCCTGTAAGGTTATAGAAGGGTCATTAAATGCCCATGCCTCTTTGGTTTGTCTTCAAAGTTTCTCTGGACATAGAGGTGGAAAATATACCAATGATGTCCCCACTGAGTTGGGGAGATGCATATTTAGTTTATCCCCCAGAACCTCATTCTGCCCAATTTCAGAGGATCCCTCTACTCTTTGGAGTGAGGGC